GCTGAACTGATTTTGATCACTGATTTCCCCCCATTTTGAATTCATGAAAAATGCCAATTACAAGGCTGCTGGCTGTTTATATTTAAGGAGGGAAGTTAAAAGCTTTGCTTTTTAACCAGATATTGAAGATATTTTGGCCGCTGTGTTATCTTGCTACTGTTTCCTATTGGCTGTTACATCCATAGATCAACTTTTTTTTTTTTTACAAAAATGTATACTGCTCTGAACTCCTAAGGGAGGGAAAGCGGGATATAAATGATGTTAAACTAATGGATTGTTTTAAAGAAAACATTCCTTTAATTAACTCTCGTGTCATTCCTCCCTAAATGTTATGTAGGACAAGGGAAGAAAGAGAGAGACAGGGATTATAGTTTCAGCCGCAAGATGACATTACTCTTGTTAACATCTAGTTCCAAGTCATTGAAAGTTTGCAGGATGGAGCTCTGCCAAGACCAGATGTTTTGGAGTTCAGGAGAAATCCTGTCTGTGGCACTTTGCCTTCGACAAAATGTAGGAATAATTTGGGGGCAATTTACACAATCGGCAACTCTCTCTCTCTCTCTCACTATATATATATACGGTAAAGCACGTCTTGAACTACCAATTCAGGCTAGAAAAGGGGGGCAGGCTGCATGTCTGGCTACCCCCTCGCGACAAAACCATTTGAAGCACATGCATAAATAGCTTAGAATCATAGCATTGTAGAGTTGAAAGGGACCCTGAGGGTCATCTAGTCCAACCCCCTGCAATGCAGCTGTCCCGTACAGCGATGAAACTTGCAACCTTGTCATTATCATCACCATGCTCTAACCGACTGAGCTATTTCCTCAGCTTCTCAAGAGAGAAGACAAAACCAAACTTTCCTCCCTGACATGCTATGTTTCCCATTGCATGGAGTTGTGTTCCCGTTCTCCACCAAGGGAAAACAGTCATAAGCCCAGCTCAATTTAGACGTGATCATTAATCAGCAGTCACGAAATTAAAAGACGCCTGCTTCTTGGCAGAAAAGCGATGACAAACCTAGACAGCATCTTAAAAAGCAGAGACATCACCTTGCCGAGAAAGGTCCGCATAGTTCAAGCTATGGTTTCCCCAGTAGTGATGTATGGAAGTGAGAGCTGAACCATAAGGAAGGCTGATCGCCGAAGAATTGATGCTTTTGAATTATGCTGCTGGAAGAGTCCCATGGACTGCAAGAAGATCAAACTGATCCATTCTAAAGGAAATCAGCCCTGAGTGCTCACTGGAAGGACAGATCCTGAAGCTGAGGCTCCAATACTTTGGCCACCTCATGAGAAGAGAAGACTCCCTGGAAAAGACCCTGATGTTGGGAAAGATGGAGGGCACAAGGAGAAGGGGACGACAGAGGACGAGGTGGTGGGACAGTGTTCTCGAAGCTACCAGCATGAGTTTGACCAAACTGCGGGAGGCAGTGGAAGACAGGAGTGCCTGGCGTGCTCTGGTCCAGGGGGTCACGAAGAGGCGGACACGACTTAATGACAACAACAACTCTTAGTAAAAACTTAGTTGAAGACCACCCAGAATATATATTGAAGCTGCTTGTGCATGCAGCTACTTTATATAAACCTGTCTATAGAGTTGTTGTTAATAGCCCAGCTTAAAGGTAAAGGTAAAGTGACCCCTGACCATTAGGTCCAGTCGTGGACGACTCTGGGGTTGCGGCGCTCATCTTGCTTTATTGGCTGAGGGAGCCAGCGTACAGCTTCCGGATCATGTGGCCAGCATGACTAAGCCGCTTCTGGTGAACCAGAGCAGCGCACGGAAACGCCGTTTACCTTCCCGCCGGAGCGATACCTATTTATCTACTTGCACTTTGATGTGCTTTCGAACTGCTAGGTTGGCAGGAGCTGGGACCGAGCAAAGGGAGCTCACCCCGTTGCGGGGATTCGAACCGCCAACTTTCTGATCAGCAAGTCCTAGGCTCTGTGGTTTAACCCACAGCGCCACCCGTGTCCCTAATAGCCCAGCTTAGGACCATGGAAACTGCATTAAAGCACTGGTCTATTAGCCAATTATTGTCAACAATAACTGGCAGTAGCTCCCTGGGGTCTTGGGCAGAAAGAGTCTCCCCCTGCCCATTAGTGATTGAACCCAGGGTCCTCTGCACATGCAGCACTGAGCTACAGCCCTGCCCATTGAAAAACCAATTTTCTATTTCATGCAACGAAAGAACATCAAATGCCTCTAGGAAGCCCCTGGGCACCTATGAGAGCAACAGCTCACCTGCCTCTCCGCACCCAGCACCTAGTATTCAAAGGCAAAATATATTCGGCCACACCCCAGTTTGAATTAGAGTACAGCCACCCAGGACCAGAAAAGCTTGTTTTGTGAGCCTGATCCCACCTTTGAAAAACCAGCCGGCTCTCCTTGAATGCAGTCAGAAAGCAGCTAAAGACTGGCCTGAAGGTGTGTGGGGCTACCATCTTTCTGAACCTAATAAGCAGGTCTAGATCAGCTCTCTGAGAACCACAGGTAGGACACATACATAAAAGGCAGAACACAGATGTAAGAGGTGGGAGCCAGAGTCGCAAACCTTGATGAAGATTCATTTATGGCCTGTTAGGCCGAGGGAGGTTTGTTGTTTTTCTCTTGTAGGTTTCTATGGAAAGTATTTTTGCGTTCTTGCACTGTAAAACACACCCTGTGTTCCTGAGATGAAGGACGGTCTGGAAATTTAAAATATCAGTAAGCAGAATGCGCTTTCCCCCTTTGCAAAATTCACAACAGGGACGCGCCTGCCAGCAATTATTTCTGGCTCATCCTGACCACAGGTTTGGATTTGCAAATCCAGACTCCTATGAAATCACATCTGTGGAGTGGTTGGGGGGGGGAGAGGCGGAGAAAGAAAGCAAAGATTTTCCAACACCAAAAAGTCTGCACCCATGACGTTTTGTCTTTACTAGGTGAATTGCAGTCTGCCTGGGACGCAGTAAAATAGATCATGTTGCCGCCCCATAGAAGTCAACACTCCTACAGCATCTCCAGTTCTCAGCACACCCCGTTTTTCATCTAAAGGGTCCCCACAACCTTCGAAAGCTTGCTGGCTCAGTCCAGCCTCCTGAATCGTGCCTATCATCAGTTTTTAACAACGGCAACAAAATGAACCTGCCTTTCCAGCTGTTTTAGGGACAAGTAACACCTGCCTTCTGCTTGCCAGTGTTTGCAAGAGCCACTGTGTGCTTTCGTAAAAATGTGAAGCATATATTAAACTAACAGTAATAATTGATCGTTATATTAATTGGCATTTTAAATGATTTTTTCCCCCTGGTGCTTTTACTCATGTTGCTATAGTCTTGCATGCTGCGCAGCACCTTTCTATACTCATATAAAAGTACGGATTATAAATGCTTCGATAAATAAGCAAAGGAGAGTGCTTTTCCAATTCTGGGCATATTTAACGTGGAGTAAGTTCAGCTGAGTTCGGTGCAGCTTACAAACCAGAAAAGTGTCCCTAGATCATGGGTGTGCCCCCACTGTCAGCTATCTACCAAACTGGCAGCCCAAGTCCATGAATGTTTACTCATGAGTAGGACCCATTTTATTAACACCCCCCCAAAAAAGCTTTCAGTTACCGTAACAGCTTTGCAGCTCAACTCTGCATCTGGGTCTTGCTCAGAATTAATTCCCACTGAGTTCAATGGAATATCGTCCAACAAGTGTGTTTAGACATATAAAATCCTATACACATTTACACCAGGAAGCCCCGTTGGGTGCAACGGGGCTTACTACTTCTGAGTAGAAATGCTCCAATTTAAATGTCAGCAAGCTCGCCACCTGACTGCCTACAGCTCGTTTTCCCCTTTTTAGCTCCCAGAATATATTCTAGGGATGTCTCCAGCGCAATTCGCATTGAGAGCAGGAATTGTGTGGAGCTCAAAGGGTCTTACGCAACAGGCATTCTTGATGGCTCGCGCTCCAAGTTTCTAGACCTCGTGATATCGCGAGGCGGGCGAATCCAATTAAAATGCATTCCCTGGACAAAGTGACGTACATTGTGGCGCAAAGGCAGAACAAATGTTGGCAGCGTTATGTTAAAAGGGGAAGGGGGCCTTCTTGGATTCTGGTTCTGTGTTCAGAAATAGGAACGTGACTATTCTTCTGAATTTCATGCAATCCGGAATCAGAGGTTACACTTGAAAGAAAGGCGCTCGTTTATTACAGTCACAGGTGTGTGTTACAGCGGGTCACACGCGGACCCCTCTGTCTGTCTGCACGTCCGGATAACCCGCATCTAGAGATAGTTTCCCAGCACATAGATAACGAGAGCAGCAGTTTCTTTCTCCAGAGAGCAGCCTGGCAAGCCACGGCGCATCTGCTTCCATAACCACACCGCGTTGCATTTCCTGCTCTCTCGAGTCTTTTTTTTTTTTTTTTACAAAAACGCTGACTTCTTTTAAAAATAAGAGGGCTTTACAAGCGGGCTCAGCAACCCCGATCCCTTTTAAACGTGGGGGTTTTGCAGCAGCGCAACGCGCCTCTTGGCCGGAGTACCAAACGCTTGCGCTTTCTGCTCACGCGTCACGGCTCCGGGTTTGGAAACCCTGACTTTTTGCCATTCCTGTTTTGCAAAACTGGCCAACTCTCGCCAATCAAGGGCTGTGTGAAACACACAAAGCTGTGGCTGTTTTAAATAAATTTTTAAAAGTGTGTGTGTGTGTACACACTTCAACAAACAGCTTCCACGGACTTGCATTTCCACCCTCCGAAACAACGCAGCGCCGTCTTGTCAATTTCACTGAAACGGACCACACAGCGCCGCTTAAGCGTAATTGGGTATCCGGGCGCATCAACTTTCCGTCAATGAATAAATCCCAGACTTTCCGAGCAAGCCGGATCTAGTCGATCTCCTCACCCTCTCAGATCATTCAGCCAGGAATTACTAGGACCGCTCCTCTGTCCACCCCAAACCAAGCCTCAAAGGATCGCAGCGTTTACTAGTAAAAAAAATCAGCAACAGAAAGTCCCTCGCTTCTCCTTACCTTTTGGCAGCGGTGGGGCGGGGGAAATCTTCTTCCTTGTCCCTTCTCCAAAATCGTCTTCCAAAAACTGGGGTGGGGAAGGAATGGGATTTGCGGTGGGAGATCTCTTCAACAGCCCCGCTTCATCCACTGTTTCCTGGGCAAAGAAGGACGCCTCGGTTTTGCAGATGTTAGCAGTCCAAGATAAGGTTCCCAAACACGCTTCCCGAGCGCAGGAAGGTCAGCCGGAGGGAAAATAGATGTTAAACTGAAAAGCACACAGCTAGGACGGGCGAGGGATTTGGATTGGAGAGAAAGAGACGCTGGGAAGTTGGAGCGGGGGAGCAAATCGGGAAGGAGGGGAAAAATGATTGCAAAAAATAATAATAACGCAAGAGAGGCTCTGGGAAGATGTTGCAAAGTGCGCTTCTTTTTCTCTCTCTGTGTGTGTGGCTCCAGAGTCGCAGGCGATCGCCTCTTCTTCTTCCTAAACCCCCGTCCAGCTCCACAGCTGCAAAAGTCCTTTATGGCTCTTCTCCGGCTGGCGGAACCTGCTTTTATGCGCTCCTCGGGGCTTTGATGTGAGTGGTGATGTCAGCCCGTATTAGCATAACAAAAACGTGCGGGATTTACTGCCTTGGAGAGAGAGGGGAAAAAATACAGGACAAATAAAACGTGTTTGATCTGTTCAGCGGGGAGTTGACAAAAAAAGAGAGGGGGGAGTATATATTTGCCCAGGATTCCCCCACCCAAAAAAAACCCACACAACACTGTCCCTCTGCAGGCCCCCCTGCAGCAAAACTCCTCTCGTGTTTCCCCCTTCCGTGCACAGAAATAAACGCCAGAGGGCAGGCGGGGGAGCGTGGAAAGAAGCGCAGGTTGCTGCGCGCAGGCTTAAGCGCCACCGCAGACGGATCCCAGGAGCCTTGCCTCATAAGAACCCAGCTCTCCTGGGTCAAGCCCAAAGGGGTCCATTCTAGTCCGTTATCTGGCGCCACCGGATTTAGAGTGGTACTGCTGGCTTCCTCCACAGGGAGGCAAGCTGATGATGCACAAAATAGTGAACTTCAGAGCATGTGCAGAATGGAAGGTGAGACAAGGGGCGCTTTAACGAACTCTGTTCCCAAAGGAATCATCGTTCTACCCGGACACTGAGGTCCAGCGCAGAGGGCCTTCTGGCGGTTCCCTCACTGTGAGAAGCCAAGTTACAGGGAACCAGGCAGAGGGCCTTCTTGGTGGTGGCGCCCGCCCTGTGGAACACCCTCCCACCAGACTTTTAGAAGACATCTGAAGGCAGCCCTGTTTAGGGAAGCTTTTAATGTTTCATGCATTACAGTATTTTAATATTTTGTTGGAAGCCGCCCAGAGTGGCTGGGGCAGCCCAGCCTAATGGGCGGGGTATATTTGTTTGTTTGTTTATACCCTGTCCATCTGACTGGGTTGCTCCAGCCACTCTCGGCAGCTGCCAACATATATAAAATAATTAAACATTAAACATTAAAAAGTGTAGGGATACAGTGGTACCTCGGGTTACATACGCTTCAGGTTACAGACTTTGCTAACCCAGAAATAGTACCTCGGGTTAAGAACTTTGCTTCAGGATGAGAACAGAAATCGCACAGCAGCAGCGCGGCGGCAGCAGGAGGCCCCATAAGCTAAAGTGGTGCTTCAGGTTAAGAACAGACCTCCGGAACGAATTAAGTTCTTAACCTGAGAGACCACTGTCCAGGGCTGCCTTCAGATGTCTTCTAAAGGTTACATAGTTACTCATCTCCTTGACACCTGATGGGAGGGCGTTCCACAAGGAGGGCGCCACTACCAAGAAGGCCCTTGTGTCTGGTTCCCTGTAACCTCACTTCTCGCAGGGAGGAAACCGCCAGAAGGCCCTCGGAGGAGGACCTCGGAGTCTGGGCTGAGCGATGTGGGTGGAGACGCTCCTTCAGGTCTACAGGGCCAAGGCCGTTTAGGGCTTTCAAGGTCAGCACCAACACTTTGAATTACGCTAGGAAACGTACTAATGAGACTCTTAAATTCAGCGTAGTGGATTATAGCCCCATGTTAGCCAAAGGTTCTTCCATTGCAGGGGGTTGGAGTAGATGACCCCCGTGGTCCCTACAATGTGATGATTGTGAAAATAGGAAATACTGTGGGGGCACCAAATTTTGTCCTCGCTCAGAGCGCCAGGTTACCGAAGTCTGCCCCTGCATTAAGGTCTGGCAGTGGACATTCTGATGCCCCAAAGAGGAGGCAAGAAGCAAGAGCAGTGCTCTCTCCATTTGTGAATTCAATGACAAACCTAGATAGCATCTTAAAAAGCAGAGGCATCACCTTGCCAACAAAGGTTCCTATAGTAAAAGCTATGGTTTTCCCAGTAGTGATGTATGGAAGTGAGAGCTGGACCATAAAGAAGGCTGATCGCCGAAGAATGGATGCTTTTGAATTATGGTGCTGGAGGAGACTCTTGAGAGTCCCGTGGACTGCAAGAAGATCAAACGCATCCATTCTTAAGGAAATCAGCCCTGAGTGCTCACTGGAAGGACAGATCGTGAAGCTGAGGCTCCAATACCTTGGCCACCTCATGAGAAGAGAAGACTCCCTGGAAAAGACCCTGATGTTGGGAAAGATGGAGGGCACAAGGAGAAGGGGACGGCAGAGGACGAGATGGTGGGACAGTGTTCTCCAAGCTACCAGCATGAGTTTGACCAAACTGTGGGAGGCAGTGGAAGACAGAAGTGCCTGGCATGCTCTGGTCCAGGGGGTCACGAAGAGGCGGACACGACTAAACGACTAAACAACAACAACAAGCAACTGGAATTCAGGTGCAATGTTGTCTCCGACAGTGGAAGTATCAGGGCCGGCCCACCCATGAGGCTAAATGAGGTGACTGCCTCAGACAGCAGGGTCCACAGGGGCATCAGATCCAGTCTCCAATGAATGCAAAACCTGCTGCTGCCACCATTCACGGTAACCTTACTCTTTGCTTTCAGCCTGCTCAGATTGAAGAGCTTTCCATCTATTCGATATATGATTTCTACTCCGGTGGGGAGTTTCCCTTTGACAAAGTGTAGGATCATGGCAATGAAAATAATAAATTGAGTTGGGGCGATAACAGAACCCTGTTTAACACCTGATCCCACTGTGAACTGTTCACTTTGAGAGCCATTGTTATCTGCGATTGTTGCTGTCGTATTATCATGGAGGAGCCGAAGGATATTCACAAATTTATCTGGGCAGCCAATTTTCAGAAGGACCGTCCACAGGGCGTTACGATTTACAGCGTCGAAAGCCTTAGTCGGGTAAATAAACACCATATACAGGGGGTTGGTTTTGCTCTCTGCATTTTTCTTGAAGCTGTTGAGCGGTGAAAATTATGTCCACTGTCCCCTAGAAGGCCGAAAACCATTTTGGGATTCAGGAAGGGTCACCTCAGATATTGTTAAGAGGCGGTTTGCAAAGATCCTTGCAAGAATTTTTTCCGGCCGCAGCTCATAGAGAAATGCCTTGATAGTTTCTGCAATCAGTTCTGTCACCTTTTTTAAAGAGGACTTGTGGATCTAGAATTGGCCTCCACAGTCACTTACGGACTCACTGTTAAAACCGTGTTTATGGAAGACAATCTTACTCGGCTACAAGGGATCGCCAAAGGAGAAGAAGGTGGTTGGCCACTGTGAAATTTGCCATTGGCATTGCCATTGGCGCTGTGAAATTTGCCAGCAAGCATTTCTTACATTCTAAAGTCAAAACACAACTTTGAATAACTCACCTTTGGTTCCCTCTTGACAGAACATGCCCAAAAGCAAATAGATTAACCAATAATAAACAGGTGTGTGCCCTGAACTTCCAGCCTCACCAATTAAAGTTTGCCTTGCACGATTCCACTGCGGCCCTAGGAAAAAGAAACACTGTGCGTAATAAATTAAACGTTTCTGTTTGCAAAAGCAGCAGCAGGATATAAAATAACAACGCCGCAGCCTGCCCAAGGATTTAAGATGTGTAAACTTTTAAATGGGTTATTCTCCCATCTCCCCGCCCCCTTTCCCCCAGCAAATGGCTTCGGCATCCATATTTTCTGCTCCATAGGAAATCCTCATGCTAGAATTGTCCTGAACACGATTCCAGGGGATGGCTAATGATTACCAAGAAAAATAAGCAAGTTAACCTTTCAGCCGGAACTCTTTCATGTTACCTTTCCAAAGGCTGGCTGCTATTGACTGATTCCACGGGCTGATTTCATAAGTAAACCCGAGCAATATTAATATTTTTAGGGGGAGATTTTCTTTTGCTGAATGTATCCTCCCATCTGATAAAGAGGCTGAAAGGGCAGAGGTAAAATGCCAGAGGAAGTGCGTGGAAGGTTGGGAAGTTGCGGGTTCACACACCCATCCACCCACACACACACCCTGTTAAGTATTACAGCTAAGCCTTAAGATTATATCGGCCAGATTCATTGGAGGCAAGGAATCCTTTGCTTTATTGATTGAAGCTGGAAACACTCCTAGAACTATAACTGGGGCGGAGAACATTGCACCTGCAGGCAAAATATTGCCCTCCATTCCTATCTGGCTCCTCCTGAGCCATGCCTCTTCTCCCCAGGCCAGCACTCTCTCTGGCCCTGTTTTGCACCCTTTTGGCTTGGCTAAAATCTATACTATATAGAGTTGGAAGGACCCCTTGTGATCATCTAGTCCAGCCCCCTTGCAACGCAGGAATATGCATCTGTCCTGTACGGGGAACAAACCTGCAACCTTGGCGTTATCAGCGCCACACTCTAACCAACTGAGCTATCCAGGCCCTTGAACTGTGATACAGTGGTACCTTGGTTCTCAAACTGAATCCGTTCCGGAAGTCCGTTCCAGAACAAAGCGTTCCAAAACCAAGGCGCACTTTCCCATAGAAAGTAATGCAAAACAAATTAACCCGTTCCACATTTTTAAAAGCAACCCCTAAAACAGCAATTTGACATGGATTTTACTATCTAACGAGACCATGGATCCATAAAATGAAAGCAATAAACAATGTACAGTGGTACCTCTGGTTACATACTTAATTCGTTCCGGAGGTCCGTTCTTAACCTGAAACTGTTCTTAACCTGAAGCACCACTTTTAGCTAATGGGGCCTCCCACTGCCGCCGCGCCGACGGAGCACGATTTCTGTTCTCATCCTGAAGCAAAGTTCTTAACCCAAGGTACTATTTCTGGGTTAGCGGAGTCTGTAACCTGAAGCATATGTAACCCGAGGTACCACTGTACTGCAGTCACACAATTGTCAATCAGTAGCTGAACTGGGTTCCGCACAGTCACAAAAATAAAATAAAAAGAGTCGCGAAAACAGAAACGCAAAATAAATAGCAAAAACAGACAGACCTCAGCGTAACAATGAAAACGGAAGCGTGGCACTCAAATCGGAAGCGTAACACTCAAAACGCAGCACGTTCGGCTTCCAAAAAAAGTTCACAAACCAGAACACTTCCTTCCGGGTTTGCAGTGTTTGGGTTCCAAGTTGTTTGAGTATCAAGGCGTTTGAGAACCAAGGTACCACTGTACTGCCTCTGGCTTGCCTAGGTTGAGGATGGAGAGCCAGGTGTGGTTGAAGTGCTCTTGCACTCGGATCCCACTTGCAAGTTTTCCACAGGCATTTGGTTTGCCACTGTGAGAAGAGGATGCTGGACAAGAT